GGAGGGGACGCTAGGGGAGGGGCGGCCGGCGAGGACTGAACAGGAGGGCCACTAGAGTCAGAAGACTCCTCCACCGGGTCCACCGACGGAAGGGGGGTGACGTGGGACACACCAGAGGGGGCGGGACGGGGAGGAGGAGGAGGAGGGGCAGGGACTACCGGGGAAGGAGGGACCAGGAACAGGGGGGGAGTAACCGGGGGACCACGGTGGGGGAAGCGACGGTAGTAGGAGACGGACTCGTCAAAGGTGACGTCGTGAGAGTGAAAGAAGCGGTGAGACGGCGGGTGGTAAAAGTGCCAGTCGGACGCGTCAAGAGGAAAACCGAGGAAGACGCAGGGAAGAGTGCGGGCGGTGAGCTTGTCCGTGCCGGAGGCACGAACGTGAGCAAGGCAGCCCCAGACGTGGAACGCAGACGCGTCACCAGGAGACCCAGTCCAAAGACGGGTCGGCGAAACCTGCGGCTGCTGAGGGTGCGGCCACAGGTTAAGCTGGTGAGAAGCGTAGCGCACAGCGAACGGCCACAGAAAATGGGGTGCACCGGCATGGATCATGGAGGTGCGAGCCACCTCCATGACCAAACCGATGCGTCGCTCAGCGACCTTATTCTGCTGTGGGGAGTCCGGTAGGGTGAACGTCTGGGTGATGCCCTCCGCACGACAAAAGCGACCAAGGACACCTGAGGCAAACTCGCCACCACGGTCTGAGTGAAGACGCAAGACAGGGAGACCGCGGTGGACACGCGCAGAGACAAGCCAGGGGATGAGAGCGCCAGGCACGTCGGCCTTGCGCTCCAGGGGAAAGACTGTGGTGTAGCGAGTGAAGTCGTCGACAAGCACAAGGAAGTAGCGCTCTCGACGCGGCCCAGGGACAGGGGCGGGGCCCCATACGTCCAGGTGCAGGGTCTGCAACGGCGCGGCCGTAGGGGGAAACGAGGAGGAGTGAGGGGCACGGCGAAGCCGACCCTCGACACAAGGCGTGCAAGGTGGGGCTGGGGAGGAGGGAAACGCAGGGAGAGAACCTGGGAGACCAAGGACAAGACCGTGCTGGGACATGTGACGCAGACGCGGGAGCGCAGGGTGACCTAGGTGGTGGTGCCAAAGGAGGGTCGGGTGAGTGAGGGACCGACAGGAGCAGGCGGCAGCAACCTGGGTGAGCGCTCCAGCCGGGGGGGTCACGGTGTCCAGAGTGAACAGGCCGGACACCGGGTCCCGGGGGAACGTGGACAGGGGGGCACCAGTGGCGGCCTCGGTACAGACAGCATACCGCTCGTGACCAGGGAACGTAGTGGTGACGCCAAGGTCCTGCAGGCAGCCGACACCAACTAGGTTCCTGGAGAACGAGGGGATATGCAGACCTGTAAGAGTGCCCGAAGGAACCGCCGGACAGGGAAGGGTGGTGGAACTGCGGGCGACTACCGGACCGCCAGAGGGGTCAGCGAGAGAAACGGCAGCAGGGACGAGAAGCTGCGTCAGGGTGGTGGAGTCGCGGAAGAAACACCGAGAAGCGCCAGAGTCCAAGGTGAAGGAAAGCGAAGCAGAGGCGTCTGGCGACGGAACGATGGCGGAAGCACCAAGACTACACAAAGCAAAGGATCCTACGCCTGACGCAGCAGGGGAGGGTACACTAGGCACACCTACACTAGGCAACAGTGAGTAATAAGCGGGAAGCACACTAGAGTCATCAGCATACATCATATGCAGAGCAGAAACAATGGCATCCATGTCCATATCAAAGATCTGAATCTTACGACTAAGCAAACTGTGCCAGTCCGGGAGGTCTGGCGACGGGCCGAAGCGCTGACGAAAGAGGTCGTCCAGGCGACGAAAACAGCGGGGAGTGGAGTGACCGAGCTTACCGCAAACGAAGCCGCGGCGAGGACCGGTCTGGATCTGGTACTGACAGCGCCCGCCGCCAGAGCTACCACTCGACACACCACCACGCGCCCGGCCACCGCCAGCGCCGGGCCACCCGGGCGGGAGGACACTCGTCTGCCGTGGCTGCGACGCCTGCGGCGGCTGCTGCGACGGCTGCGACTGCGGCGCCTGCTGCGGCTGCTGCAACTGCAGGGGCGGCGGCTCAGCTGGACTGGGCAGGGTCCCCTCGTCCGCTCCAGCACCAGACGACCCGGCCCCACCACTACCCCCTCCCGCACCCCCGCCGCCGCCTCCGCCGCGCCCAACCTTGGGGCGGCGGCCCTTCCCCGAACGAAACTGCGCAGCAGCAGCAGTCTCTGCCACTGCGACAGAGTCGTCGGAGAAAGTACACTGGGCGGGGGCACAACCCTGAAAGATAGGGACAGGCACGACACCACTCGCCTGGGCGATGGAGCGGTGACGGGTCTCTATGACAGTCAGGGTGTCTACAAAGTCAGTGAGGGTGAGGTCGGCAGGGTGAAGGCTAAGGAAGCGGTCGCGGGCGACAGCAAGGCGGTCAGGGAGGCGGGTGGCAAGCAGGTAGAGGGTAGAGGTAATGGGCGGCTGGTGGGCTCTAAGCTGTGCGTCAGTGCAGGCGGCGCGCCAGGTCTCCTCTATCGAGCGCAGGTGGGCAGCGAGGTCAGAGACAGTGGGGAAAGATGCAAGGTCAGGAAAGAGCATCAGGAGGATCAGGCGACCCACCGAGGCAGCCGGAGGGGTGGAATAGCACTTGATGACAGCATCTAAGTATGTCTGAGCAGTGGTGAGGGACCTAAAGCGAGGACGCTCGGACGAGGGGAGGGCGTTGCTAATGGCAACCTGGGCGACAGCATCGCGAGAAGCCAGACAGAGCGCGCACGGGCAGTGGCAGCAGTAGACTCACGCTCAGTGGGTGTGGGGTCAGCGGGCAGAATAGCAGGGGGGTCTGGGCAGGGGAGCGTACCGTCAAGGTGTGCGGAAAGCGGTTCACCATCCTGCCGCTGGCCAGTGAGTTGGCGGCGGAGGTCGGCAAGCCACGCCTCGAACTCTAGGGGCTGACCTTCAGCGTCGAAGCGAAGCTCCGCCGCCATCAGGAACAGTCCAGGGCGGTGCAGGGCGGTGCAGTGCAGTGCAGTGCGGTACAGTGCGGTGCAGTGCGGTGCAGTGCGGTACAGTGCGGTGCAACGCGGTGCAGTGCGGTGCAGTGCGATGCAGTGCGGTGCAAGGCAGTACAGTGTGGTGCGTGGCGGTACGGTGCAGGGCAGTGCAGGGCGGGGTGGGGGGGAACCGTACCAGTGAGGAGGACGGGGCCGGGGCAGCGGGGCCGGGCAGGTGCGACCGGGCCGGGCGAGGACGACGGGGCCGGGCGGGCGCGATGAGGCCGGGCGGGCGCGACGGGGCCGGGCTGGTGCGACAGGGCCGGGCCGGGGTGACAGGGCCGGGCGAGCGCGACGGGGCCGGGCAGGGGCAACGAGGCCGGGCTGGGGCGGCAGGGCCGGGCCGGTGCGACGGGGCCGGGCGGGCGCGACGGGGCCGGGCTGGTGCAACGGGGCCGGGCAGCTGCGACGGGGCCGGGCAGGGTGCGACGGGGCCGGGCGGGTGCGACGGGGCCGGGCGAGCAGGACGGGGCCGGGCTGGTGCGACGGGGCCGGGCGAGCGCGACGGGGGGGCCCAGGAGGGGCGCTGCAGGGGCCCAGGAGGGGCGCGACGGGGCCCAGGAGGGGCGCTACGGGGCCCAGGAGGGGCGCGACGGGGCCCAGGAGGGGCGCTACGGGACCCAGGAGGGGCGCTACGGGGCCTGGGAGGGGCGCGACGGGACCCAGGAGGGGCGCTACGGGGCCTGGGAGGGGCGCTACGGGGCCCAGGAGGGGCGCGACGGGGCCTGGGAGGGGCGCGACGGGACCCAGGAGGGGCGCTACGGGGCCCAGGAGGGGCGCTACGGGGCCCAGGAGGGGCGCGACGGGGCCTGGGAGGGGCGCGACGGGGCCCAGGAGGGGCGCTACGGGGCCTGGGAGGGGCGCGACGGGGCCTAGGAGGGGCGCTACGGGGCCTGGGAGGGGCGCGACGGGACCCAGGAGGGGCGCTACGGGCCTGGGGAGGGGCGCTACGGGGCCCAGGAGGGGCGCGACGGGGCCTGGGAGGGGCGCGACGGGGCCCAGGAGGGGCGCTACGGGGCCCATGAGGGGCTCGACGGGGCCCAGGAGGGGCGCTACGGGGCCCAGGAGGGGCGCGACAGGGCCCAGGAGGGGTGCTACGAGGCCTGGGAGGGGCGCGACGGGACCCAGGAGGGGCGCTACGAGGCCCAGGAGGGGCGCGACGAGGCCCAGGAGGTGCGTTACGGGGCCTAGGAGGAGCGCGACGGGGCCCAGGAGGGGCGCTACGGGGCCTGGGAGGGGCGCGACGGGGCCTGGGAGGGGCGCGACGGGGCCCGGGAAGGGGCGCGACGGGGCCCAGGGAGGGGCGCGACGGGGCCCAGGAAGGGGCGCGACGGGGCTAGGGGGGGGGGGGTCGCGACGGGGCTAGGGGGGCGAGCGGAAGTGGTAGGTGGGGGGGATCCTACCTACGCGTGATACCATAACAAGAATTGAAGAAGTGAATAATGTTAGAGAGAGGGTACACACAGATATACCTAAGTGTTGTACCCTCTAAGAGGCTACCCTATACAGTCTATACAAACATGACAAATACACATGTTTGACACTTACCCCCCCCCAAAAAAAAAATCAACTCACGAAAACGGGTGAGCGAGGAAAGTGGCTCTGAATACCAGGTGTTATGAATGAACAAGCAGAGTAGCGCGGAAATGAATAATGAAGCGTTCAATCACTCAATGACGATGCAAGGAATGGCAAGCCAAGATATAGGAACACTAGGGCTAGTCTAACCATGAGATGGGAAGGTTCGGGAAAGAGATCGAAGGGTCTCGAAGTGACGAAGCGAGGCTCTGAGAACTCCCGAAGGTCGAACCAGAAGGTCTGGAGAAGCCGAGGCGGTTCTATCTGTCTAGAGGCTTCGGATGTGTTCGAGCGTACATGATAGCAGTACCGCTCGGTAAGGAATGGAAAATTCCTTACAATTACCCCCCTGCTTCAGTTACATTTTCCGCGGTAATAAGAAGTCCATTTATGCACCCTAGATCGCATAACAACTTGTATAATGCAGCAGGAAGCCGTCATTGCAGCATGCTACAATTATTCCAAACATAGTGAGTCCTTGGTATTCTGGCATGCACCGGTATGCTCCTGTTCTCTTCACCCCTAGCAACAGCCATGCCTTTCCCCCCCCCCCCACAAAGCCTCATATTATGCCGCCTTCACACAACTCTGCCTGTTGGCCGACTGCTTGTACCCCTTACTGCACATGCAGATCGGCGAAACCTTGTTGTGCCTCACTTCCACCGTGCAAAACCCCTTTCCACCGCACTGGGAGCTTCCAGTGGTCCCGCAGAACTGCAGGCAGGACTTAGCCACTCTCTGCTTGGGCTTGGACCCGCAGCTGTAAGAGGAGGGGATAGCGATGCAGTTATTGCCGATGTCTGCAGAGCAAATGGCCTTGCCGGCGGTGGTGGTGGCGGGGGCGGAGGAGCCAAAGAAGTAGTTGCTGTTGAAATTGGCCGACTCTGGCATGCTGGCGAACTTGGGGAGGGGTCCGGTGATGTAGTTGCCGCTCACGTCACTGGTGAGGGGTTAGAGGAGGATGAGGAGTGGGGATGGTGAGGGTGCAGGAGGAGGAGAGGGTGTGGAAAGGGAGGGAGGGACAGGGATGAATTCAGGTGTGAGGTGGGGTAAAGGCAATGCGCCGATGGGCTGACGAAGAAAGCACGAGAGGGGATGCACAGTGGCAACGAGGGGACTTGGAAGTGCCAACAAGAGGTATGCCGTGAGGACTTGAAATGTCACACCGCCGTGGTGGCTGGAAATTATCGAATGGAAAGGAAAGGTGAAAGGAAGGTACACCACGTTGAAGGGCACGCTTGTCTCTCTATCTCACATGGACTTGAGCTTGCTCTGTGTACGGAAGTCAGGCATGTAGCCGCTCAGACGGTTGTTCTGCAGGTTCCTGCATTGGGAGGGTGAGGGGAAAGATTGAGTGGGGAGGGCCAAGGGCATAACTTCAGGGGAGAAAGACAGTGGAGCATGTTTTAAAGGGACTACAACAGATCTGCCGAATCTTGATTAGAAATTACGGAATCAGAGGATTGGGGGGTGACAAGATAGAGAGGGAAGGGGAGAGGCAAGAGTGAACGGGGGGGTGGGTGGATGGCATGGGTGGATGCCATAGCAAGAGGGAGAGAGAGAGAGAGGGAAGGAGAGAGGCCTGGGCTCACAGTGTCTGGAGGTTCTGGAGGTTCTTAAAGCTGGCGGGGACGTAGCCAGCTAGCAGGTTGTCGTTGAGCGAGCTGCATATAGGTGACACAAAACCCGAGAAAGGTGAAACAGGAGGAAGGACGGGTGAGACACGAGTGATGGTGTGGCGAATGATGGCCAGAAGCAGACACCCTGAGAAGGCAAGGGAGTGGAGCAGGCAAGGGAGTGGAGCAGAAGCAAAGGGAGTGGAGCAGAAGCAACGGTTGCGAGGCAGGAGAGGGGGAGAGGAGGAGGAGGGGGAGGATGCAGGGCGTACAGGAAGCTGAGCTTGGTGAGGTTCCCGATGAAGGAAGGCAGTTCACCGGAGAAGGAGTTGTAGCGCATGCTCCTGAGAGAAGGGGGGGGAGACGCAAGAGCGCGTTGGGAGAGAGGGAAACCAAAGAGGTGCTGCGGCATGAAAGAGCTGTGACAAACCCAAAAAGTGGGAGAGAGACGAGAGTGAGAGGGCACAAAGAGCAGAAAGCGCACACCAAGAGCACACCAAGAGCACATCACGAGCATAAATGGTTGCACGAGAGAGGAGGAACTTGTTGATGGAGCATGCAGAGAGGAAATCGACAAGCCTTGAGAGAGAACAAGTGCGAGGGGGGGGAGTGGGAGGAGGCAGGGAGGGAGGGCAGGTGGGCGGGAGGGTGGGTGCTGACAGGTAATCGAGGTTGCGGAGGGCTTGGAAGTTGGCAGGGAAGGTCTGGCGGAAGTAGTTGTCGCCCAGCAGCCTGTGTGCTCACATGCATGGATGAATGGATGGACGGATGCATGGACACACGGCACGGACAGGCAGGAACGCAGTGGCAGGAGCAGAAGGAAGCAGGAGAGGGGAGAGGTGAGAGGCGATGGGGAGAGCGGAGAGGGGGTAGGGAGGGGATGGGAGAAGGGCGGGGATGTTCTTGGTGAGGAGGGACGAAGAGAGCACGACTGGGTGATGGGGTCCAAAGCAAGCCATGGAAATGTGAAGCGCAGGTTTGTAGCAGTGGTGATAGTAGTGGTGATGGTTGTGGTGATGGTAGTGGTGGTAATGGTGCATGGTAGCGCATGAGCCAACATAATCACGTGCTAAACCCGATGCACAAAGCTCAGAACCTAGGACCCGGAACCTAGAACCTTGAACCCTTAACAAGAAACCCAGAACCTCAAGTCAGAACCTAATTACAGAACCTAGAACCTAGAACGTAGAGCCTAGACCCTAGAACCCAGATTGTGGAGGGAGGGGAGCACTGACAGGCGCTGCAGCTTGGTGAGCTTGCCGATGGAGTTGACCCGCCCCATGAGGCGGTTCTTGTGCAGGTACCTGCCCGCACCACCACCCAGCACAGCGGCGGAGACGCACGGGGGCGGCGGTGGGGCACAGGAGCGGTGGAGACACGCGGGCGGGGGGGGTGGGGCACAGGGGCGGGGGAGAAACATACGGGGGTGGTGGTGGCAGGAGAACGGAACGTTTTTGAGTGACCTTGGCGTGGAGGAAGAGCAAAACTAGGGGAAGTGCTGTGAAGAAGCCGCTGAATATGGGAGGGTAGCAATGCACGCGGTGGGGAGGGGATGTGCGGCTGGTGGCGCTGGTGGCAGTGGCAACAGCAGCAACACAGAACAACGCAGCAGCAACTACACAGCAGCGGCAGCAGCAGCAGTAGCGGCAGCAGCAGCAGCGGTGGTGGCAGCACAGCTCACAGCTCTTTGAGGTTGGCGAGGCCGCCAATGCTGCGAGGCAGAGGGCCACTCAGACCCTCCTCACCCGTGGCCGCCAGGTTGCTGCCAGAGAAGGGGGAGAGGGGAAGGGGGAGGGGGAGACAGGGAGGGGGGGACAGGGGAAGAGGGGACAGGGGAGGGGGGAACAGGGGAGGAGGAGAGGGGATGTGTGAGAACGAGGGCGCAAGGGGGATGTGAAGGTAATGTGAAGCCGAGGATAAGGAGATGATAGGGAAAGGTAGGGGGAAGGAAGGGTGAGGATGAAGCTTGCAAGCATTAGGGCCTGACAGGTACACTACACGAGGCAGGGGAGGGGCTCACAGGTGGGGGGCAGGGGGAGGGGCTCACAGGTGGGGGGCAGGGGGAGGGGCTCACAGGTGGGGGGCAGGGGGAGGGGCTCACAGGTACACGAGGCTCTTCATGAAGCCAATGAATGCGGGAATGGTCCCCTTGAGACGGTTCAGACTCAGATCGCTGTTGCGGTTGGCCCGGGCGGGGAGGGAGAGCGGGAGAGAGAGCGGGAGAGAGGAAGAAGGAAGGAGAGGGGCGTTCCGAAAAGGAGAAGCTGAGTGGATTATGGGGGCATAGCTGAAGGGAGAAAAGACGACAGCGGAAACCAGCAGGCTTTCACATTCCTCCTCTCGCTCTCCCGCTCTCTATCCTTGCAGTTCTCCTGTCATTACCAGCAGCAGTGCCAGCAGTGCCAGCAGCGGCAGCGGTGGCAGGCAACACACTCACAGGTAAGTGAGTCGCATGGTAGCGAGGAATGCCGGAACAGGACCCTCGAGCCCCGAGTCAGAGAGATCGCTGGCCGTCGGATGGCGGACGCACGGACGCACGATCAAATGGACGGACGGATGAACGCGAGGATGGGTCGGACGGACGCACGGACGGCCGGAAGGAGCCCGTGGTTGAGGGGCGGCCACCACCAGAGATACGCGCAGAGAAGCGAGAACCGCGGGGAGGGAAAAGGAGGTTGATGAGTCGGAGGAAATGAAATATTCAAGGCGAAACAATCTCAGGGCTGCATGAAAGTGCCACGGGAAGAAAAGGGAGGGTGGAAGGAACGGAAAAGGTTCGTGGTGGTGTGGTGGTGGTGGTGGTGGTGGTGGTGGTGGTGGTGGAGAGGAGGTGCACGAGGGTGGAACCAGGGAAGGTAGGGGGGTGTGCCGTATGGAAGAGACAATGGAAGGCGACAATGGGAGAGGGGGAAAGTGCCGCGAGGTGCGCGCGATGGGGGAAGAGGGCTCACAGGTGGGCGAGGCCGCGAATGGCGGGGAGAGCCTCGAATCCCTTGGACACCTCGGGATTGCCGCTCAGGTCGCTGCCGGGAGGGGGAAAGGGGGGAGGGAGGAGGGAAAATGAAGGGGGGGTTATTTGGGTGAGGCTTCTGAGGCGGACGCTAGAGGAGGAGAAGGGGGACGATGATCGAGAGGAGGTGGAGAGGAGGAAGAACGGCAGGAGAAGTCACGGCGAGGAGGCGAGCGAGGAGATGGGACGGGACGAGCGAGACCGCCGGGAGCGTGACCGTCGCGAGAAAAAGACGTGGCATGAGGAGGCGAAGGAAACACCGATGTGGGGAGAGGAGGCGAACGGGTTGGCGGTGAATAAGCTGGTCGAGATCTTACAGGTGCACGAGTCCCCTGAGCTTGCTGAGGCTGCTGATGGTCCCGTTGATGGCATTGCTCGACAGGTCGCTGCTCGCGCGGGAGAGCGCGGGAGAGCGCGGGAGAGCGAGGGAGAGCGCGGGAGAGCGAGGGAGAGCGCGGGAGAGCGAGGGAGAGCGCGGGAGAGCGAGGGAGAGCGCGGGAGAGCGAGGGAGAGCGAGAGAGAGCGAGGGAGAGCGAGAGAGAGCGAGAGAGAGCGAGAGAGAGCGAGAGAGAGCGAGAGAGAGCGAGATAGAGCGAGGGAGAGCAAGATAGGGAGCGAGGGAGAGCAAGATAGGGAGCGAGGGAGAGCAAGATAGAGCGAGGGAGAGCAAGATAGGGAGCGAGAGAGAGACAAAGGGAGGTGGGGAGAGCAAGCGTGATGAGCGAGAGTGACGACGACATGAGCAAAATCAGCAAGCGACTTGGTAGAATATTCGTGCTGGCAACAAGCGAGTGGCAACCTTATGATTGACCAGCCCACAACGGCCTACAATTGCCGACCTCACTCCCCACACCTCACTCCCCACACCTCACTCCCCACACCTCACTCCCCACACCTCACTCCCCACACCTCACTCCCCACACCTCACTCCCCACACCTCACTCCCCACACCTCACTCCCCACACCTCACTCCCCACACCTCACTCCCCACACCTCACTCCCCACACCTCACTCCCCACACCTCACTCCCCACACCTCACTCCCCACACCTCACTCCCCACACCTCACTCCCCACACCTCACTCCCCACACCTCACTCCCCACACCTCACTCCCCACACCTCACTCCCCACACCTCACTCCCCACACCTCACTCCCCACACCCCACAACCCACTCCCCACCCCCCATCCGTCCGATGCCCCTGCGTGAACCCACAGGTATCGCAGCGAGGCGAGCTTGGTAAGCGTGCCGATGGGGCCCTTGGCTCCCGCCTCCACGAGCGTCCTGCGCGCGCTCGCCCATGGGGGAACGGCAGCCATGGGGGAACGGTCAGCAGGGGAGAGAGAGAGAGTAGCGAGAGTGAGAGAGTAGCTCATGAGGATTGGTGGTTGCTGAGAAACGATGATACACGCCAACTGTCCATCGTGCTTGGGAGTTGGCGTCACACTAGCTGCTGCTACCACACTGCTGACGTCCTGCTGACGTGCTAGTGACGTGGCAACGTACATGTTGTTGATCAAGCCCTTGGGGTTGCAGCGCACGCCGACGTACGTGTTGCAGCGCCGCGGCCCGCCCGACGCGGACCACGTGGTCGACCCCTTGAACTTGCCCCACTGCTGCGCCAGCTCCTTGAGCACCGCGTCTGCGCGCGCGGGGACGGGGGGAAGGGGGGCAAAATGGGGGAGGGGAAAAAGGCGGGTGAGATGGGAGGGTAAAATGGAGGTCAGGAGAGAAGCAAGAAATATCGTTCTGGAGAGGATTGTAATGCGGCGAGGGTGGGGGAGTCGAGGTGTTAGAGGTGTCGAGGACGTGTGGGAAGGAAGGTCATGTTGCGACGGGGGTGGGGGAGAAAGCTCGAGATCGGGAGGTGCAAATAGCAACGGTCAAGGCACGTGAGCAGGTGTGCTGTTGAGCTGGTCGAGTAAGGGGATGTTTGCGATGCCGCGTGCGAGCATGCATCCCCTAACAACACTACGGCGGAAATAGCGAGCTGAAGCATAGCAGTGGGCTTTTCATCGGGTTTTCCTGAATTTTCTTTCTTTTCGTGTGTAAAGGAAGGCTCACGTTGCTTAGCGTCAAGGTAGGGCCGCTGCACGGCGAGACATCCTGCAGTGTTGGCGGCAACCACCAGGAGCACCAGAATCGCCGAGTGGAGGACCAACTTGGTGGAACGGGCTCGGAAAACCGCTGCCATCGTTTTATTCCAGCTAATATGTGCTTGGGGAAAAGATCTGGGTAATGCAATCACCAATGCAGATGCCGCAACGAAGCGATTTCACTAAAACGAACGCGAATGCTTAGGTATGACAAGCTTGGCGTCTGCCCTGGAGGGGAGCGGAGTTAGTGATGGATAAATATGTCTCATGTTGTCCTCCAGCAGCTTGTTTATGTTGAGGTTGAGCAAAAATGAAAGTTGGACATCAATGTGCCGCGCGCTGCGGTTCATGGTGAAATCATGGCGCGAAGATTGAAAGGTTCGTTTGACCACCTAGCCAGAGCTGGGCGAAGGCTCGAGCTTGGTCGTTAGCCTATCAGAGATTGTATAGAGTAATCAGATGGTGTGGCGAGGATTTCGCTAGGCCTTGATGGTTCGTACGTGATTCGCTGTTTCGCAATCTAAACGTTCGAAGCTCAAAAGGCGCTCATTCGTGATGGCGCGACGATGGCGGCAGTTAGAAAGAAATTGCCGCCAGCTCCACAACCAGTGAATTTTTCCGTTTCCTCACGCAGGCGCGTCGAGTTTTGCTCAACGCTGCCCCCAATGACCGAAACAGGTAGGGGTTGGAGATGTGGCAAGGTAACCTTGCACGAACTGAACTCATTTCTAACTATACGGCAACAGTAGTATACCTCGGTAAGATTGCGCCTATGAATGTGAGCAACAGGGCTTCTGCTGAACTAATGCTGCAAGGGCTCATTTGAGAAACCGTCTAGTAAGAAAAACGTGGTGGATTTGCCGCATATTGTAAAGTAATACACTTGGGCACCTACAATAGGTAGGTTTGCATTGCAACATGGTGCCACACTGCTGCACAAAGGGAGTGTGCATCAACTGTAGGGCAAAAACTGAATTGCCTTTTCTTAGGCACCTTTTTGCATCTTTAGTTTCCCTGCTTGCAAGAAAACAATCATGGGAAACTGCACAATACTCTGACAATGAATTACACAGGAAGCACGCACACACATCGGCTCACAACCAAGCTACAACAATTACCAATAGATACAGAAGAAATCTTCAAGGTGATAGCAAGTTCCATAGCGCTTAGTGTTTGGCCTTGGTGGAAGGTGCGAACTAGATGGAGTGGCCCAGTTGGTGGTAGTGGCGATTCATGTATATGAGAGGATGGAAGTCACTGACGTCCATGGCTAGTACCTGCAGCAAAGAATGTCGGAGGAAAGAGGGTGAGGGAGAAATATTCCATAAGTGGAGATTATGCACCAGAAAACAGGGAGTCTGGCTGCAGAAGAGTCTGTGATGTCAGCATATGTCGGCAGAATAGGGCTGCAGTTGCTGGGGAAATCATGGTAGCAGTAAAATAGAAGCATGCCACACCCACAAGAATGTCAGCAGAAAGAAACAATATGGGGAGAGAAACAATGGGCTCACTTCGCCAAGAAGCAACTGGTGGTCGCCTGCATCATGAATGGCATACGTGCGGCACAGCAGCATCGCCATGGTGCCTCCAATGCGAGGCACAATGTTGCTGCCAGTCGTGGCTCCTGCATCACTGCTGTCAGATGCAGACTTGCTGTTATTCCCAGTGAAGTTTGAGAGAGAAACGAGCTCCCAGTCTTTCACCACACTGTATAAGGGGTAAGTCGGGAGGATAGAACGCATAGATTAGTGTGGAGACGGTTGAGGCTGATATAAAGGAGCAGGGAGTGTATGATAAACTGCATGGTGGAAGCACACACACAAGGGGAGTAAATCAAGGAATCAGCAACAAGTGGATCAAGGAAAAGGGGGTACCTGGAGAAGGTCTCTTGTGTGCTGTCCGCCTGTTGAGGTGAGAACGATGCACAGGTGATAGGGAGATACAGAAGGCGGGACGGAAGGGGGGCAGCACGGGAAACAGTGAAACCAGCTGGCGATTAAAGAGGCGGAACAAAATGGCGATTAGATTCGCGATATACACTGAGGAAATTACATGCCAGAAGGGGTGTCAAGCTAGTGTATGAGCACAAACATTCTGGCTAACACTGCATAGGCTTTACTTCATGTGAGCAAGGGGTTAGGAAAGAAAGAGAAGAGGGGCTAGGGCATCTCATATATGTGGCTACAATTGCATTTTTTATTGGAGTAACCCTGCAAAGCGATCGAACTCACTGGTCGTGCGAAGCCGTTAGCGAAGTTCTTATTCGCCTCGTTCAGCAAATGCACGCCGAAACCTGAGCTGCGGTTGAGCACCTGCCACGACCAAGCAACGCCCGCCACACAAAGCACTTGAATTAGCATTGGATCCAGAGAGGAGCCTTGGGCTGGGTGGGTTAACGGTATAGCGAAGAAGCAAGCATTGTGGGAAGACGCGGCAGCCAGAATGTCGGGATGATGCACAGCACAGGGCAAGAAGCATTCGTCTGGGCCAGCGAAGGTAGATTTGCAGCGGGAAAGAGGGTTGTTGGCATGGAGCGTACATCGAGGAAGTGGGATCCCTTGCGGATGCAGACGGAGATGAGCGGCGGATCCATTGACACGCTGCACGCTCGCACGCGAATAGGAGGGCCATGCGCATGGAATACACATTTTATGACAAGGAAAACGCGTTACGCACCCATTTTTTTGCACGCATTGCCTGAAAATGGCTTTCACTTTTCATCTTAGAGGTAAAGTTCTTCCGGTGTTTTCCTTCGTCATCGCGATGCGGCCGGGCAGCCCGCGGCGACACCTGAGCTACGCAATAACGCGAAGCAAAGCCGCGGCGTGCTCCCTGCTGCTCACCTGATGAAGCTGCTGCACGTCATCCCTCGCACGTGCAACTCGTCGTCCGCTTTCGCTTGAGCTTCACCCTCACATGATCCTCCGCCGCTGGCGCTGCTCGACCCCTGGTACGCCGCAGTCACGATCACCACGGGCGCAGGAACGTGCCGGAGCACGTCGAGCATGACCTCTTTCTGAAACGGCTTGATGGTGGCGTGCTCTGCGTCGGATACCGCTTCCTGCTCGGAGGGGACTGCGAGTTCCGCTCCGGGTGTCGCCCCGTGGCTGTGCCGCAGCTGCCGGCTCGAGGAGCACGGCACTGCGTTTCTGCTAGCGGCGACGTGAGCACATGCGAACGGGAGGCGGCACGGGATGGTGGCGGCGGCGGTGGCGGTTGAAGTTAGTGTTTGGGGTGGTAAGAGGTCGACTGTCGTGTGCGGCACAGCCTTGGTCGAGTTGAAGCTTCGGAGCGGAATGTATTCTTGAGCAGGGTCGCGGGTGGCAGATCGTGCAGCGGAGGCGCCAGCGGCAATGCGAGGAAAGCCGCCTAAGCGGAGCAACGATCGAGCGTGGGTGAGAGCTCGGCTGCTGCTCCGGAACGTCGCCATTGCACGGGCTTCTGAGGGGCGGCTAAGGCACACGGAGGAGGTTCACGGAGGACGTTTCAAGCAATGGAGGTACTTCAAGTGAGGCACTTCAAGTGAGGAACGCGCCACAAAATCCTAGTGATCAAGCTGCTTCAAAGGCCCATGAAGCAGAGAAAGGTCAGTCCTTGCACGAGCTGGCAAGGTCTGACTGAAATATGGACAAGCCCGAGGAATATACTGTACTACCAGTCGCGAGCATTGCAGGCTCGCTCCTTCAGTTCACTGAGCAACTCGAGAAACCCAAGACGGTAGGAAGGGACACCACCGCTGCGGGCCCGAACATAGTCTCGCACAACAACCTCGATGCACATCAGCCAGCCAGCAGCAGCAGCATGAGGGCAGGGGGTGTTGCTTGAGTGGCGAGTGGCGGCGGCTCTTCACGCTTTCAGAGGTCTTTTGGAGATTGGTGCCAAAGTTAGGTGGTGGTCTCACGCACGACTCTCCCAGCTCCCAAAGCACAAGTGTCAGACACTTGATCTTGTCTTGCCGCCCATGTGCTGCTCATGCCGATTCTGCTCCAGATTCAGTATGACACCGTAGATGTCGGTGGCTCCTATCTTGCATGAAGCTAACCAACGCATGCTGAGAATCTTGGATCGTGATTATAGTAAACTGCATTATATGACTCAGTTCCACATCAGCTGTTACTAACGAATGTGGATGCCTACAGTGGATTTCAATAATCCTCAAAGCTTCTTTGTTTTCCCCTTTTTTAGACCACAGGCGTCTATTCCTAGGAGTTGACTACTGAGGTCCGGAAATAATTACTAATATACAATTTATGAGTGAAATTTTCAGTGCGAATGAAAAACCCATGGATACGGTTATACCAACTCTCATTTGCTGCCTTACATTAGTACTTTGTCTTTATATTTTCTCAACATTCCTTGTTGGGTCATAACAGATACCGAAGCTTCATGTACACTAGTGTCTAACCAGAACCAGCTGCGGGGCCGTCCTTTGCCATGCGGCTTGGTGCGGATTGGCTAGGGCAGCCCCTATTAGACCGAACTCATCTCCGACCATAACATGCGCACCGAACAGTAAAGCAATCCTGGCCACTGGCTACCCAACCATGGGCGACAAATCCTCATCTCGCATCGCAGCTACCCTGCGAGGCGATTGGTCAACGAACTCAGAGAGGCGTTTTCGTGCACGTCGCAATTGATCCATCCCCACCGAATCCCGCAAGAGGTATCACCTGGATGGGATGTGATGTGATGGGATGGGAATCAGGCCGCGAGGAAGTGAAAATCAAGACAGCTTTTCCAGCAGCAACTGCTAGCACCTGCTAGTTGGTACAGCGTAGGGCATTCCGCGGGAGCAATTACCGCGGACTATGGTAATTCTTCGTACCATGCCGGCTATGCCGGCATTCGCGGCAGTCTGTGGGCTGACGCTCGTCATCTCTTCCCTTCTGGTGGTATGCTCTCACGCGCGCGATCCCTCCAGCAGTCGCCTTCCCGCCGACCGCAGTTTTGAAGCTTCGAATTCTTCCTTGGTTCCCCACTGGGCCTCCGGCGAAGGCGAAGGAAACGAAGGCGCTCGCGTTGATATCGGGAAGCAAATTCCGCACCGCAGATCTATCCCCACCGCCGCCTCCCCGGAAGGTGGGGAGTCGGCGGCGCGGCCCTCGGCGCGCGCCGCAATAAGCAGCTATGACGGGTCGCGGCTGGCGGGGGGAGAGGTCCCGGAATGGGTGGCAGGGGACATTCTGCATTATATAAAGGAGGGACTTGACGAACTTCTTGGCGAAGGGGGCGGTGATGGCGCACCAGGCGGCGGTGCTGGTGATTGGGATTCTTTCTTGGGGGGATGGAGGGACGAGCACGGGATTGGAAGTGGGGAATGGAGGGGAGCAGGCGGTAAGAAGGGGTGTGGGAAATGGAGGCAGGAAAGTGGCGCGGCGACGAGAGCCATTAGCAGCCGCAGCCGCAGCAGCAGCAGCGGAATCCGCGACACTGATTGCAGCCGGGACTTTGGTGGTAGGACTACTGCGGAGAGTATGGTGAGGAGAAGATCGCTGAGGAAAAAGCCGTTGGTGCCGGATTTGATTGTGGCTCAAGATGGGTCGGGAAACGTCACTAATCTGGAGGTAAGCAAGCAGATGTCATCATCATTTGGTCCTCTACCACACAAACTCGAGCTATCCATTCACCCTATATTCGCTCACCCCTTCATCCTCCCTCTCCTTACCACACGCTCCCTGCGACTCTCTGCGATTCCCTCCGAAAACCGCCACCAGGACGCATTGCAGATCATCGACAGTGAGAAGCCCATTTAGCCTTCTTGAGGCGCCTCAAGATACTCTCCACTTCGCCCTCCCTCTCCACGCCACATTATCCCACCGGCTCCCTCCGAGATCGCCCCACCAGGACGCAGTGCAGATCATCGACAGCGAGAAGAAGCGCAAGTCGTGGTTCATAGTGCTCTTAAAGCCCGGCACGTACGTGGGCAACGTGGAGGTGAAGAGCCGCAACGTGGTGCTCGCCGGCAGTGGCGCATGGCGCACGGTCATCACAGGCAACCGCAGCAATGGGGATGGCTACGACACATGGGACACGGCCTCCTTTGGTCAGTCGCTCTGCCCCTGCCTGCTACCCCACAACACCACCACTGCCATATCCTTCCTGTCATTCCCCTCCCCCCCTCCCTCCCCTTCCCCCCCTTCGCCTCCCTCGGTTCAAAATTTCACCGAAAAATCTGATTTTTTTCTACGAAAGTTTCGTTTTCGAAGCTTTCCATCGAAATCATCTAAATTGGATTTTCCAGCTTTGGTGCGAATTTTCGGCTGAGATTTTCAAACCAGATACGCGACGGATTTCCAATTTGACACCTTAACGAATTCAAGGGAAAAGGTGTGTTGTAGCGCACAGAATGTTGATCTGGCAGGAAGTCGAGAGCAGAAAGTGTGGCCTGCCATTAATGGCCCGCCAATGACGGGCCAATGCGACTTTGCCTTGGGAAATTAGCGATGGCGATAGTGACTTTGAGTGCTCCGACGACACGGACGATGATTAGTGACATTTTAGGTGTATTTTTGTACTCCCTAGCACTCTACAATGCAAACAATGGTTGTGTGTGGTGCATGTGGAACATTTGGCAGGATTCCTGGAAGAAATCGTTCACATCACCTTCTAACGAAATTTGACAGAATTTCTCAAAACCTGGCCAAAACTTCGAACCACCAACCCCCCTCGGCTTGTTTCTCAGAGCAGTGCAGGCACCTCAGTCATGCCTGCTGCACTCGCACCTCGTGTTCGCCTCACCTCACCGCACTGCCATCATTCCCCTTCCAACCGCCAGTTGCGTCGGGCGACAACTTTGTGACGGCGGGCATTCGCTACGAGAACAAGGCGGGGCCTGACATGGAGGCAGGGGTGGCCTTTCGCGCATCCGGGGACAGAACCCTTGTGTACCGTTGCATCTTTGCTGCCTTCCAGGTGCGCTTTCTGCCCTCCTGCACTCTGCACTCTGCTCTTAGCTCTTTGCTCTCTGATCTCTGCTCTCTGCCCTCTGCCCTCCACTCTCCGCTCTTTGCTCTCTGCTCTTTGCCCTCTGCTCTCCGCTCTCTGCTCTCTGCCCTCTGCTCTCTGCCCTCTGCTCTCTCCCTCTGCTCTCAGCTCTCTCCCCGCTGCTCTCTGCCCTCTGCTCTCTGCTCTCTCCCCTCTGCACTCTGCTCTCTGCTATGTGCTGTGTCGCCATGACCCCACTTCTTGTTCTGCCATTTCCAACTCTGTCATGACAACTGTTGTTCTTCTCTGCAACCTGGGGCTCACCCATTTCTCCTCTTCCACGCAAAACAGAACTAAACTATCAGCTGCATGCCCTTCCCTTCCTTCTCTCTCCCTCTCAACCTCCCCCTCCCCATTCTCTTCTGTCTCCTCCTCCACCCTCTCCCCTCCCTCATCTCCCTTCCACCAACCTCTCCCACTCCCTCTCTCTCTCTCACCCCCACTCCCTTTCCCTCTCCCACTCCCACTACCTCTCCCTCTCCCTCTCCCACTCCTTCTCCCGCTCCCTCTCCCTCTCCCTCTCCCACTCCCTCTCCCACTCCCACGCCCGCCCCCTCGCCCTGCACCTCAGGACACGGTGAATGCACACCGCGGCAGGCAGTACTACCGCAACTGCGCCATCTTCGGCCACGTGGACTTCATATTCGGCCGACATGGCGCCGCAGTCTTCGACCGCTGCCGCATCACCCCCATCCAGCGCCCGGGGAAATCCAGCCCCGCAACCATCGCCACCCACGGTGGGGACTCGCCGTCCAAAAGAGAGGGCGGCTTTGTCTTCTACCGCTGCTGGATTGCGAGTGCCCCTCGGGGAGTTAAAGCCTACCTTGGCCGGCCATGGAGGGCACACGCCCGTGTGGTGTACATGTTGAGCTATTTGTCCGATGCGATTCTTCCTGAGGGGTGGGTTCCTTGGCCGGGCGAGGACTTTGGATCGAAGCTGTTTCTGGGCGAGTACCGGAATGTGGGGCCGGGTGCGGGGACAAGCGAGCGCGTGTCGTGGGCTCGGCCAGGGTTGCTGGATGAAACTGATGCGGCTTCGTACATGCCTGATGTGTTCATTCGGGCCAGGAGATGGGTGCGCAGGACACCCTTGGATATCAAGTACCCGTAACGGCCACGGAAGTTGAAGCCAGGGTGGTTGATGAGGCAACCCATATGGGGAGCAGACTGGGAAAGCTGCAGATGTGGGAAGCAGAGGGAAGAATGGCAGGAAGCCATGCGAGTAGTCTTTGGCATCCCGTCCCGTGCATGTGACAGGGGGCCAGAGTGGGGGGTGTTGAACTTGTTGGGGCGAGCAACCAAGGACGGCCAGTTCTCGCATGTGTTAGAATTGACTCAAATGGCAAGGGTCCAATGCTATTGTGCCCATCTCGAGCTCAATTTAAGCTGGAAATTAGTGCCTACTTGTGTGCTGGGTGTGGAACAGGCCCCTAGATTGCAGGAAATTTTTCCTGATTCAGGAAAAAAACAGAGTTGTTGCTGGTACCAGTCCTGATTGTCCATGATTTTTCGAAAGGCATTTCCTGTTTTTTCAGCATTTTTTGGGGGGTCAACTCTGATTGCTAAGCAAAGTTTTCTTAACGAATCCTGAAATTTCAGCTTTGCAACGAAACTGTACTTGTTTCCGTCCATGCGTGACCTGGGGGCCAGCAGAGATTTCCGAGGTTCTGGCCCGCCCTCCAGGCTCTGTGAGGGCGTTTATTGGCCCTTCACCAAATTCGTGGCTCGACGTGTGGGGGCAGTGTGAGGGAGGGCACTTGGTCCTTAGCCAAATTTTGGGCCCGATGTGTTCCTTAGAGCTTTGTATGGGCGAAATTTCCCTCAGCCCCTGCAATCTCGCCTACCTGACCCGATTCACCGTGCAAGCATAAATTCGCTACTAAAGCATGCGCTAAGAACCTCTAAGAAATCAGGAAAAACTCCATAAGTAACTCTGTCTGCTCAGGAAAAAAAATTTAGGAGTCCTGATTCACGAGGATTTTTTTTGGGACCAACCCTGAAAAATCAGAGAAAAACTCAGGGGGAATCCTGAGCGATCAGGGCTCCTAAAAACCAATCTAGGGGCCTGGTGTGGAACTAGTACGTACAACGTTTGTTTCGCAAGGTGACTGCAAAACCTGGGTTGGCAAGAAAGTCTCCTCCCACTAGTTCTGCCCATTTGCCTCATATTTGCCTCTTTGCAAACCCCCAGCACGAAGTTTCATGGGATGCTCTCCTGACTCATTACACCTACATTTGAGTTTTGGCAATAAGTATTTTGGGTATACATGTCAAACATGTGTATTTGTTATGTTTGTATAGACTGTATAGGGTCACCTCTTAGAGGGTACAACACTTAGGTATATTTGTGTGTACTCTCACTCTATCATTAACTTCTCAATTCTGATATGGTATCACGCGTAGGTAGGATCCCCCCCACCTACCGCTTCCGCTCACCCCTCTAGCCCCTCGCCCCGTAGCGCCCCTCCTGGGCCCCGTCGCGCCCTTCCTGGGCCCTGTAGCGCCCCTCCTGGGCCCCGTCGCGCCCCTCCCAGGCCCCGTCGCGCCCCTCCTGGGCTCCGTAGCGCCCCTCCTGGGCCCTGTAGCGCCCCTCCTGGGCCCCGTCGCGCCCCTCCCAGGCCCCGTCGCGCCCCTCCTGGGCTCCGTAGCGCCCCTCCTGGGCCCTGTAGCGCCCCTCCTGGACCCCGTCGCGCCCCTCCCAGGCCCCGTCGCGCCCCTCCTGGGCTCCGTAGCGCCCCTCTTAGGCCCCGTCGCGCCCCTCCTAGGCCCCGTAGCGCCCCTCCTAGGCCCCGTCGCACCCTCCCTGGGCCCTGTAGCGCCCCTCCTGGGCCCCTTCGCGCCCCTCCCCGGCCCCGTCGCCCCAGCCCGGCACCGTCGCACCAGCCCGGCCCCGTCACGCCCGCCCGGCCCTGTCGCACCCTGCCCGGCCCCGTCGCAGCCGCCCGGCCCCGTCGCACCCGCCCGGCCGCCGTCCCGCTCGCCCGGCCTCGTCGCACCGGCCCGGCCCTGTCGCACCCGCCCGGCCCCGTCGCCCCTGCCCGGCCCCGTCGCGCTCGCTCGGCCCCGACGCCCCGGCCCGGCCCTGTCGCACCAGCCCGGCCCCGTCGCGCCCGCCCGGCCCCGTCGCGCCCGCCCGGCCTCGTCGCGCCCGCCCGGCCCCGTCGCGCCCGCCCGGCCCCGTCGCCCTCGCCCGGCCCTGTCGCACCTGCCCGGCCCCGCTGCCCCGGCCCCGTCCTCCTCACTGGTACGGTTCCCCCCCACCCCGCCCTGCACTGCCCTGCACCGTACCGCCCCGCACAACACTGTACTGCCTTACACCGCACTGCACGGCACTGCACCGCACTGTACCGCACTGCACCGCACCCCACCTAGCTGCACTGCCCTGCACCGCACTGGACTGTTCCTGATGGCGGCGGAGCTTCGCTTCGACGCTGAAGGTCAGCCCCTAGAGTTCGAGGCGTGGCTTGCCGACCTCCGCCGCCAACTCACTGGCCAGCGGCAGGATGGTGAACCGCTTTCCGCACATCTTGACGGTACGCTCCCCTGCCCAGACCCCCCTGCTAATCTGCCCGCTGACCCCACACCCACTGAGCGTGAGTCTACTGCTGCCACTGCCCGTGCGCGCTCTGTCTGGCTTTCTCGCGATGATGTCGCCCAGCTTGCCATTAGCAATGCCCTCCCCCCGTCCGAGCGTCCTCGCTTTAGGTCCCTCACTACTGCTCAGGCATACTTAGATGCTGTCATCAAGCGCTATTCCACCCCTCCGGCTGCCTCGGTGGGTCGCCTGATCCTCCCGATGCTCTTTCCTGACCTTGCATCTTTCCCCACTGTCTCTGACCTCGCTGCCCACCTGCGCTCGATCGAGGAGACCTGGCGCGCCGCCTGCACTGACGCACAGCTTAGAGCCCACCAGCCGCCCATTACCTCTACCCTCTACCTGCTTGCCACCCGCCTCCCTGACCGCCTTGCTGTCGCCCGCGACCGCTTCCTTAGCCTTCACCCCGCCGACCTCACCCTCACTGACTTTGTAGACACCCTGACTGTGATAGAGACCCGTCACCGCTCCATCGCCCAGGCGAGCGGTGTCGTGCCGGTCCCTATCTTTCAGGGTTGTGCCCCCGCCCAGTGTACCTTCTCCGACGGCTCTGTCGCAGTGGCTGAGACTGCTGCTGCCGCGCAGTTTCGTTCGGGGAAGGGCCGCCGCCCCAAGGTTGGGCGCGGCGGAGGCGGAGGCGGGGGTGCGGGAGGGGGTAGTGGTGGGGTCGGGTCGTCTGGTGCTGGAGCGGACGAGGGGACCCTGCCCAGTTCAGCTGAGCCGCCGCCCCTGCAGTTGCAGCAGCCGCAGCAGCCGCCGCAGTCGCAGCCTTCGCAGCAGCCGCAGCAGCCGTCGCAGACGCGGCAGACGAGTGTCCTCCCGCCCGGGTGGCCCGGCGCTGGCGGTGGCCGGGCGCGCGGTGGTGTGTCGAGTGGCAGCTCTGGCGGCGGGCGCTGTCAGTACCAGATCGAGACGGGTCCTCGCCGCGGCTTCGTTTGCGGTAAGATCGGTCACTCCACTCCCCGCTGTTTTCGTCGCCTGGATGACCTCTTTCGTCAGCGCTTCGGCCCGTTGCCAGACCTCCCGGACTGGCACAGTTTGCTTAGTCGTAAGATTCAGATCTTTGATATGGACATGGATGCCATTGTTTCTGCTCTGCATGTGATGTATGCTCATGACTCTAGTGTGCTTCCAGCTTATTACTCACTGTTGCCTAGTGTAGGTGTGTCTAGCTTAGCCTCCCCTGCTGCGTCAGGCGTAGGATCCCCTGCTTTGTGTAGTCTTGGTGCTTCCGCCGTCGTTCCGTCGCCAGACGCCTCTGCTTAGCTTTCCTTCACCTTGGACTCTGGCGCTTCTCGGTGTTTCTTCCGCGACTCCACCACCCTGACGCCGCTTCCCGTCCCTGCTGCCGTTTCTCTCGCTGACCCCTCTGGCGGTCCGGTAGTCGCCCGCAGTTCCACCACCCTTCCCTGTCCGGCGGTTCCTTCGGGCTCTCTTACAGGTCTGCATATCCCCTCGTTCTCCAGGAACCTAGTTGGTGTCGGCTGCCTCCAGGACCTTGGCGTCACCACTACGTTCCCTGGTCACGAGCGGTATGCTGTCTGTACCGAGGCCGCCACTGGTGCCCCCCTGTCCACGTTCCCCCGGGACCCGGTGTCCGGCCTGTTCACTCTGGACACCGTGACCCCCCCGGCTGGAGCGCTCACCCAGGTTGCTGCTGCCTGCTCTTGTCGGTCTCTCACTCACCCGACCCTCCTTTGGCACCACCGCCTAGGTCACCCTGCGCTCCCGCGTCTGCGTCACATGTCCCAGCACGGTCTTGTCCTTGGTCTCCCAGGTTCTCTCCCCGCGTTTCCCTCCTCCCCAGCCCCACCTTGCACGCCTTGCGTCGAGGGTCGGCTTCGCCGTGCCCCTCACTCCTCCTCGTTTCCCCCTACCGCCGCGCCGCTGCAGACCCTGCACCTGGACGTCTGGGGCCCCGCCCCCGTCCCTGGGCCGCGTCGAGAGCGCTACTTCCTTGTGCTCGTTGACGACTTCACTCGCTACACTACAGTCTTTCCCCTGGAGCGCAAGGCTGACGTGCCTGGCGCTCTCATCCCCTGGCTTGTCTCTGCTCGTGTCCACCGCGGTCTCCCTGTCTTGCGTCTTCACTCAGACCGTGGTGGCGAGTTTGCCTCAGGTGTCCTTGGTCACTTTTGTCGTGCGGAGGGCATCACCCAGACGTTCACCCTACCGGACTCCCCACAGCAGAATGGGGTCGCTGAGCGACGCATCGGTTTGGTCATGGAGGTGGCTCGCACCTCCATGATCCATGCCGGTGCACCCCATTTTCTGTGGCCGTTCGCTGTGCGCTACGCTTCTCACCAGCTTAACCTGTGGCCGCACCCTCAGCAGCCGCAGGTTTCGCCGACCCGTCTGTGGACTGGGTCTCCTGGTGACGCGTCTGCGTTCCACGTCTGGGGCTGCCTTGCTCACGTTCGTGCCTCCGGCACGGACAAGCTCACCGCCCGCACTCTTCCCTGCGTCTTCCTCGGTTTTCCTCTTGACGCGTCCGACTGGCACTTTTACCACCCGCCGTCTCACCGCTTCTTTCACTCTCACGACGTCACCTTTGACGAGTCCGTCCCCTACTACCGTCGCTTCCCCCACCGTGGTCCCCCGGTTACCCCCCCCCTGTTCCTGGCCACTCCTTCCCCGGTAGTCCCTGCCCCTCCTCCTCCTCCTCCCCATCCCGCCCCCTCTCGTGTGTCCCACGTCATCCCCCTTCCGTCGATGGACCCGGTTGAGGAGTCTTCTGACTCTGGTGGCCCTCCTGTGCAGTCCTCCCCGGCTGCCCCTCCCCCGGCGTCCCCTCCCCAGTCCCCTCCTCCACCGCCTCTGCCGCCTCTGCAGCCGTCGTTGCCGCCGCCGCCGTCGCAGCACCCGTTAGCTGACTCTGGGGGTGCTCGTCTCGGTCGCCCAGGGGGTGGCCCCTCTGGGGGTGCTGG